TAAATGTAATTTATTGTCTATTCAAAAGTTATGTGCGGATAATGCCTGTCAAGTAATTTTTGATAAAAACTCTTTTTCTGTTAAGGACAATCACACGGGGGAGCTTCTTCTTCAGGCACTTAATAAAGATCATGTTTATCCCTTCCATGCCCTTCAAGCCCGTGTTGTTCCGGTCCAATCTGGCACAAGCGTTTGGGGCATTGTGGTGATAGAATACTTGGTAGACTTAGGGAGCATAAATTGATTTCTACTTCCTCCTCTTTTGTTCACGATTGTGTTTCTTGTAAACTGGGTAAATCCCACAGACTTCCTTTTAGTGATGTTACTCGTGACTCTGTTGCACCTTTACAAATTATTCATTCTGATGTTTGGCAATCGCCAGTAATGTCCAATCTTGGTTTTAAATATTATGTACTATTTATTGATGATTTTTCTAGACACACTTGGGTTTATCCGATGCATAGGAAGTCTGAAGTATTTACTCATTTTTTAAATTTTCAAAAATTAGTTGAAAATCTTCTGAATTTACAAATCAAAATATTTCAAAGTGACGGAGGGGGTGAATTTGACAACACCAATTTTAGAGAGCATTTTTCGAAGTCTGGAATTTTATTTAGAAAATCTTGTCCTGACACACCGGCTCAAAATGGTGTAGCTGAACGAAAACATAGACATCTGCTTGAATTAACTAGGACTATGTTAATTGATTCTTCTATTCCTAGTAAATTCTGGGTTGATGCTCTTTATACTGCCACGTTTATTATAAACCGTCTTCCTACACCCATTTTAAATGGCCTCACGCCATATGAAAGAATTTTTAATAAAATTCCAGACTATAATTTCATGCGTGTGTTTGGGTGTTCATGTTTTCCAAAATTTATTGCTGCTTCTCACAATAAGTTATCACCACGTTCCATACATTGTGTTTTTCTGGGTTATGCATCGGGCTACAAAGGTTACCGTTGTCTCTCTCCTTCAACTGGCCGAGAGTATGTGAGTCGGAATGTCACGTTTCACGAAAATATTTTTCCCTATCCTACCCTCATAACCAACCAGTCCACCTTGACCCGCAGCCTATCTCCTTTCTGGCTCTCCACTTCGTCCCAGCATTCATATCCGTCTGCTAGTCAGTTTTTGCCCGGCTCCTTAAGCACCTTTATTCCTTCATCCCTGACCATACTGCCAACACCTAGCCCACCCATAACTCCACTCATAACTCCCATAACCTCCCCACCATCCACATCATCCTCCCATATCTCTTCTCCATCTAATTTCCCTAATGCCGAAACCATCACCAGCTCCCAGCATACCACTGCCAGTCCATCACCCTCGGCTGGCAGTTCCTCTATCTCGCCTGGCAATAGTCATACCTCATCTTCTTCGACCAGTTCCTTACTGATTATTCCTACCAATGTTCACCCTATGCGTACACGTGCTAAAAATGGCATCTTCAAACCCAAACAGATTTTTACTTTAAATGTTTTAGCTCCCCCTGATGATCAAACTTGTTTTACACAGGCAAATAAAAGTGAGGTTTGGCGGGCAGCCATGGCTGATGAATTTAATGTTTTAATTGCTAATAAAACATGGGATTTAGTACCTTAGGACCCTACTAAAAATGTGGTTGGTTGTAAGTGGATTTATAAAACAAAATATTGTTCTGATGGGTCAGTTGAGCGACATAAAGCTCGATTGGTTGCTCAGGGTTTTAAACAACAGGCTGGCATTGATTTCACTGAAACATTTAGCCCTGTTGTTAAACCTACCACAATTCGTCTTATCTTATCTGTTGCTATTTCTTTAGGATGGTCTGTTAGACAGCTTGATGTGAAAAATGCCTTCTTACATGGTTATTTAACTGAAGAGGTATATATGCGTCAACCACAGGGCTTTATTCATCCATCTTTCCCTAATTATGTGTGTCGTCTGCGCAAAGCACTCTATGGTCTGAAACAGGCTCCACGAGCCTGGTTTCATCGATTTAGTGGTTTTTTGTTGAGTCGGGGCTTCACCCAAAGCAAATCTGACTCCTCCATGTTTGTTTATCGTTCTAATTCTCAGACTGTTTATGTTCTTCTGTATGTGGATGATATTCTTATTACTGGATCCTCCTCTTCCTTTGTCATGTCTGTTATTCACACATTATCTCTTCAGTTTGCCATGAAAGATTTGGGTGATGTTCATTATTTCTTAGGTATCCAGCCAGACGCACGCCAAATGGCTTGTTTTTATCACAAGCTAAATATATTTCTGATCTCTTGCATCGATTTCATCTCCACACAGTTAAGCCCGTGCGCACACCTCTTCCCTCACGTACCACCCTTTCTCTCACAGATAGGGAACTTTTATCTAATGCTACTGAGTATCGCAGTATGGTGGGTGCTCTTCAGTATTTGATTATCACTAGACCTGATATTACATATGCTGTTAATTTGGTTTCCCTGTTTATGCATGCCCCACGTACTACTCATTTATTGGCTGTTAAGAGAATTTACAGGTATTTACAGGGCACCTCTACTCACGGTCTCTGGCTCCAATCTGACAGAAATATTTCAGTGATTATGGCCTATTCAGATGCCGACTGGGCCGGATGCCCCGACAGTTCGCGTTCCACTATAGGGTATGCTGTTTTCTTGGGATCCAATCTCATCTCTTGGCGGTCTAAAAAGCAACCCAATGTCTCCAAATCCTCCACTGAAGCTGAATACAGGGCCATTGCTTACACTGTTCAGGATACTCTTTTTATCCGATCACTTTTAGCTGACATGGGGATATATATTTCGACACCTGTAAAGATTTACTGTGACAATGTCTCTGCTTCATATTTGGCAGTTAATCCTATTCAGCATGACCGGAGCAAGCACATTAAGATCGATTATCATTTTGTTCGCGAAAGGGTGGCTCATGGGGATCTTGTTGTGAAGTACATTCCCGCACAATTGCAGTTGGTTGACATTTTTACTAAAAACTTATCTAGTTAGCGTTTTGAGTTCTTACGTTCCAAACTACACGTTGTTTCCCCTGCACAGATTGAGGGGGTGTAATAATGTAATTATATAAGGATTACTATGTAATTTTCTAAACTCATTTTTAGTATAAATATAACCTCAAGGCACCCAATAGGGTAAGCTATTATTTCCCAAAATTATTGTTTTGTATAGTCCTCTCTTGCACCCGACGGAGAAGATAGATGCACCCATGGGTGACCAAACTTGTGTGCCTGTCTTACCGTTGCCCACAATCACCAATTCTCCATGGTCTCTACTGGAAATGCATCCGCCGCTAGATTCATACTTGAGCTCCAGCACTTTCATTTAGAACCTGCGATTCTTCCGGCAGCTACCTCACGTGTTCAATGTCCGTCGTTCAAGGAGGATAATCAATGCTAAAACCATACGGAACTGAAATTAAATATCACTCCCCTAAGTCAACGAAATACTCTGACTTTCTATTTAACTCCTCATCTTGCTCAGGGCCATCTAGATCAATTATAAGGCCAAAGACAATCATATAGACATTTCAATTGAATATGTAATACGTTTTTATTTAATGTTACAATATATTCTATTAAAAAAGTAAAGAGTATGTTTTGAATGCAAAAGATCCAAAATTGACTAAAAAAACATGAATATTAATTAATAACCTATTCTTCAAGCTTTTTGAACACTAAAATTCATAAAAATATCACTACAATCATGAGTAGCTAACATGTTTTTCAACTAATAATATAGCCAAATCAGATAATCTATCATCAGACATGATTGATCATGTTTTTTTTTCAACTTCAGCTACTTTGAAAATTATCTATCTTCAGTCATTGATATACTCGATAAAAAGCCATTCAAGCATTTAGAAAACATATATGCATATATTTTATATAGTCCATAGAGAAAACACGCGTTTCTATAACTAAATTCTTTCTTAATTTGTTTCTCTTTTGTTAAAAATCATGTATAAATGATACGTAGTACGGAGCTAACTAGTTAAGTAAGTAATTTTTCTTATAAATGACAATTTAATTGACATGCTTCGTATATAAGATTATATAAATTCAATTCAAGATTTCAATCAACCTTAAATTTCCAACAATTCTAACTGGATAAAGCTTTCCAAGTTTTAAATTTTTAATGCATCTTGTGATTCACTGTAATTGTAATACGGACTTACGGAGTACAATAACAATAGCCGACTCAAAAAACAACCATTGAAAAAAAAACTAAATTAAAAGGTGTAAATACGTAATCAATTACTCCCTCCGTCCCATTTATATTGTCTTGTTTTACCTTTTCGGAAAGTCCCACTTAAATAGTTCCATACCATATTTGGCAAAGTTTGTGTGGCTCTAAATCATTCTTACTTTATTCTTATTTTATCAATTAATATCAACCACACAAACTCACTTTTCTTAATAACCGTGCCACCCTCTTCCGTCCCAATATAAATGGGACGGAGGTAGTATAATACTAAATCAATTAATCAAGTTGGGAGTTGTCACTTGTCAGAAAAGGTAGAAACCTTTACCCCGGCCTTACTCTTTACTGGTTGAGCCTCAATTGGTATCTGCGCCTTGCAATTTGCCTTAAATCATAAATACTGTATACATATACTACCTCCGTTCTCTTTTAGTTGCAACATTGGACTTTTTGCACTATTTACATGTTCTACTTTGACTACTTTTTATTAATTGATGTATAATAAATTTAATTTTTTAAAAATATTGTTAAAATTTTCTCATTCTAAATTTTCAAAATATGAATTTTTTAATTTTTTTACTAATAAGGAATGAAAGATATTAATGATCAAACTTGTGTTTTGACAAACGTGAAATGTTGACTGTTGCAATTAAAAAGGAACGGAGGAAGTATAAACTATTAGGCTTACATTAAAATTTGGAGGCCCCAAATATTTGGGGGCCCTAAACATTTGTCTAGGCAGCCTGTCCCCATGGCCGGCCCTGATCTTGCTCTGACGTATACCAAGGACGGGCTTGATACTATTTCCCTTAAATTCTTATTCCCACTTCTCGCTCCCTGGGCATTCTCATCCAATCCCTTTTTTCTTCTTCACATATTTAAACCCCCATATTTAGAGAAACAAAAATACGATTTGTGCGATTGGGGTGGGTGGCGGACTGGCGGTTTGTGAAGATGGACAGAGAAAGGAAAGTCGTCAAGCAAAGAACAGAGGAAGAAGTAGGGGTCTCAAGGATCAGAAAGAAGGAAGGAAGAAAAGAAAACGAAAAAGAGAAATAGACTACGGTTGCAGGAGGGCTGAAGAAGGGAACAGGAAGAACCCAAGAAGGAAGAAAGCAAGAAAAAGAAAAAAAGTGAAAACTTAATTCCACGTAGATATACATGTCAGCATTTACCGGTTGCATCCTAAATCAACCGGGTAAAAAGTAAAATTGAACGTTTTTTATAGTTGAAGGACTTGATTGATCGATTTTAAAGTACAAAGATTCAATTGACTTTTTTGAAATAGTACGGGATCTATTTGACAATTTTCCCTTAAATTAATATTGATACTTAGTTAGTCAAGGATCACACCGCCCACCACATATCATACGATATCAATTTTAAATTCCTTTTCCATCCAATAACTTAGAGTTTATTCCAAAAATAATGTTAATTAAAAAAATATTTTCCAAAATAAGGTTAGATTAAAAGTATTTTCCAAAATACTACTCCTCTAAACCCTAGTTAAAAGAACCACTTCAAGTGGCGGCTTATGGGAAAACAAGTAAAGCAGGCAAAAGCAAATGACGCATCGTAGTAACATGAAATAGGCCCCACAAAAATAAAAAACTCATGTTTATTTAAAAGTAATATAACATTTTTATTTGTATTCTGATCATTATAAGAAATACTTCAAAATTCATAACTTTGTATTAACGATTAATGTTCCTACTCATTGAGTTGCGTAATATTACAATTGATCATAAAGAGACGGAGATTGTTGAACATTCTTGAAACTTTGAGTTTTTTAATAAAGACAAATTTGGATACTTAGGCTTCATTTATTCCAGTAGAACTTTGCGTTGCTAGATTTATTTATTTATTTATTTATTTATTTATTTATTTATTTGTTTGTTTGTTTGTTTGTTTGTTTATTTATTTATTTATTTATTTATTTATTTATTTATTTATTTATTTATTTATTTATTTATTTATTTATTTATTTATTTATTTATTTATTTATTTATTTATTTATTTATTTATTTATTTATTTATTTATTTATTTATTTATTTATTTATTTATTTATTTATTTATTTATTTATTTATTTATTTATTTATTTATTTATTTATTTATTTATTTATTTATTTATTTATTTATTTATTTATTTATTTATTTATTTATTTATTTATTTATTTATTTATACATAGGAAAATACTCACGGTAGGACTAAAACATACTACCTCCGTCCCATTAAGATTGGGACAAGACAAAGTGGCACGGCTATTAAGAAAAGTGAGATTGTGTGCTTGATATTAAATTGATAAAGTAAGAATAAAATAAAAATGATTTAGAGTCACACAAACTTTACCAAATTTGGTATGGGACAATCTTAGTGGGATTTCCCGAAAAGGTAAAATGGGACAATCTTAGCGGGACGGAGGGAGTAAAATTTTTCGAAAAATATGAACATATGTTTGATTTTCCTTAAATAGCACTAAATATTACATTTCTACCCCTACTTTAGTCAAAGTCCCCTTGCATAATCAGAGTCATTTTATTGGTGGCAGACCAGTCCGATGATGACGACGGAGAACTCCGGTGACAGGGGCAGACAGACAATTTGGTAGCGGCGATCTAGGTGAAAATTCAGTCCACCCAACAATGATGGTCCGAATTTAAAAATCTATGGACGTTTTGAAGGTCTATAAAATTATGCATGGATTTAAAAGTCAATAGAATTCATCCGTAAAAAAGTCTATGTATTGAAAAGTCTTAACTTTCTTAAAAATCCATGAATTAAAAAAAGACCACCACAATCTATATTAGATGAGAATAAGATTATTAGGACCCGTTTACTAACATAGATATTTTCCAGTTTTCCAAAAAACTGGAAAACTGGAAAACAGAAAACAGGAAATGTGTTTACCAAAGAAATTGCTGGAAAACTGGAGAAAGGAAAAAAGAAAAACGTGTTTACCAAATCGTTTTCCAAACGAAAAAAATGAGACATGTCTCTCTTTTCCTTAATGATTTGGAGAAGTGACTTTTACTAGTTTCCCAAATTTGAAAAACGCAGATGCTACTATGACGCTGCAATGAATTTGCATACTTACACCTAGTGGTGGGTTCGGTCCTGCTCTGATGTCGATTCCATTCCGGTACCTCCATCCTCATACCTTAACCCTAACCGCTACCCTACCCTACCCACCCACCCCCACCCCGCGTACCCATTTATTCCTTATAATGACCTTACCCCACCCCGATCCACCCTACCCTACCGCCACCCACCAACAACCTCGACCCCACCCCGACCCACCCCACCCCCACCCCTCGTATATTACCACTTACCCCTACCTTACCCCTTACCACATGCCCCATACCTCGGCCCCACCGCGCCATCCTACCCCCCACCCTACCCTTTCCCCTACCTTGGCCCCACCCTCCCGCCGTCCTATCCCAACTCCCTACCCCAACCATACCCACTACCCCTCACCCTTACCGCCATCCTACCCCCACCCTACCCCTTCCCTACCTCGGCCCCACCATAGTCCCGGCCCCACCCTACCGCCATCTTATCCCATCTCCCTACCCTCCCCTACCTTACCCCTACCCTACTCACAGTGACTTCGAAGAGTTTTTCCCAAGCGCGGGAAATAAGTTTGGCGCCATAAAAACCCTACTGCTAAAATCAACTGAGATCGGATAATTCTCACTCAGCCACTAAAACAATTAATCTATTTGATCTGTAAGAATCCTAATTCGGACGACCTTGAAATCCAGGATACAGACGAAGTTTGGCATTGAAATGGAAGGATTATCCGCTATCTGCGCCGGTCTTGGAGCAATTGAGGAAGACGAAAATGACAATCGTATCGGCTATGCAATAGGAGAGCACTGCTCAGGTGGCCGAAATTACGACCCTCTCATCTAATTGAATATGCATCTTGCTTCAGTTGATTCTCTTCGAGCCAACTCTGTTTGTCTTGTTGTGATGTCATATTTGTGCTTGTCTATATATTTTACTTCGATCATTGTCCATTGGAACAGATTCCTTCCCATTATTCTTAGTTTGATCTTTTGTTAAAATGGATGGTAGTAATACAGTTTTTGTTTCTGAAGGGTTCTGTTTTCTTTATTTTTTGCAGATAATTTGAAGGATTTGCTAAGGTTTCTGAGGAGAGATGATCCACAAACAAGAGAAGTGTTCAAGCAAGTCTGTAAATGGAACATTGTGGGGAAAGATCTGCTCCCCATTATTGAGTATTGCCATGAAGATCGAAATTTGGTTTTAAGTGCGGGTAATTCAAGCTTTAATCACTAGCTTTGCTTTGTGTTTTTTCCCTTCTTTTTCCACTTGAAATTTGAATATCTTTCGTTCCCTCACCATTGCAGTAAAGGTCTTGGTATTTCTAACCATGCCAATTGAGCCATCATCGATTGACATACCCCAGCAGATGGAAGACCTTTGGGGGATAAAGTCTTCCATTACTCTCAGTGAAGTTGTGCCAGTTATCATGTCTCTCTTGGAAAGCCCTTTAGAAAATCTTGAACGGTAAGCAGAAAATATTCTCCTAGGGCTCATATTTCACTTCTCTGTACGTGTGTGAAGTGTGAACTGCTATTATTTACATACATATCAAGCAGTGAACTGTTTTTTCAGACATTGCGGAAATAAAAACCATTCTTAATCTAAACTATTGTATGCTTTGTGAATATTTAAGTTATGAGTGGTTTCCTTCTCAATGTTTGAGTTAATTAACATAGAATCCCCTCTTGCTTCGAGCCATAAAGGGCATGAATGGATGTAATTCTTGCATTCTCTAAAGCTCGCCTTCTAAATTTCTTCATATTCTCATTATAAGCTAACTTCCAATTTGTTTTTCATCCTTTTTATCTTATTAACCAGTGAGTCCTTCACTGAAGATGACTGGAAACTTGTTCAACTGGTGGTTACACTGTTTCGCAACATTTTGGCAATTCAAGATATGTCACCACATCAAAAAGCAGGGGCATCTGCCTCACAATTTCTGTTCCTAAGAGACAAATTTCTGGAACTATTATTTCGAGAAAATGTGATGGATGTGATCTTAGTCTTGTCACAGCACATGAGTGGGACATGTAGATATCTCCATCATGATAAACTTCTCTTGTTGGAGATATTTTATTTCATATTTATGGGCCAAGAACCAGAGTTGATTATAAAAGCTTATTCAAAGTCTTCACAGGTTGGTATCATTTTGATCACCATAGCACTAGAGTCCTAAGCAACAAGGTGTTAAATATGAAGAAAGTGTGGAGTTTTTCCATTCAAGATCTGATTATAATATAATTTTTATTATAATAAATAATCTATCGAATAATGTCTCTGGCTGTTCAAGCTCTGTTTATCTCTCATGATGAGTTTCTCTGATTAGGTGGATGAAGTTGTTGAAAGTTCTGTTAACAGCCTCAGAGAGATAATGGCAGAGGAACATGAAAAAAGAAGGCTTCTCCGTCAACGAAATTTAGTTTGCTATTCTCAGTTCAGTGGAACATTCACACGGCTTTCTGCGGTACACTAGTTTGTGTTATATTTATATATAACACACATGTATGCATATGTATATGTAAATGTATTCATGTCAGCACCAAACACTTTACAGGATGGCTCAAAAACATTATTGAAAGGGAATCCTTCGGTTTCTCATGAAGCCCGACTTAAAGCTCATAAAAATCACCGAGGTCCAATTAAAAGAACAGTGTGGGACCATGTAAGATTACCATCAACCACAAATAAGATCTTGGAGTTGCTGTATGATTTTATTAACCAGTTTTTAGAGGGGGGATATAATGGTAAGCCATCTAGCGCAAATTATAATGTTTTTTCGTCCCTTTAGCTGCTACTTCCTATGGTACTGATGAACAAATTGCAAATTCAGTTTTGATGCACTCTGTGAGGGAAGATATTGAGAAAGAACACCACTCAATCCAGAACAATGATGTTCTTATATTCATTCAAGTTGCACAATTCGTTATTTCTTTTCAGTACCACAAATTCTTGAACAAGGTGACAAATCTACTTAGGTTCTTTATCTTTTTCCTAGAATACATCTTTTGTTATCATTTACTTAGTTATATAATTTGTTTCTGCTTGTCAGCAGCATAATACTAGAGCTCATACTGAATCACCAGTCAATTGTGATTCTGATGATACTTTGCTTCGGGGATCTATATGTGGTCCAATTGCTGAATCACTAAATGAGTCAATGTTCCAGCTGGTTACTCATAAATGGCGATATGCATTTCACTCACTGAAGGAAACAAATGACTATAAATTTCTTTCTACATCCGGATCCTTCATGAAAACTATGGTGAGTAAACTTTCATTTATTTTATTAGCAGCCCTTTTAATGTAGAAGAAAGATCACTTTTAGCTCGAACATGTAATTCCTATGTGGCTGTGTGTGAACTGAGTCTAAGCGTCTGCCGTCTAACTGCTGATACAATAGCTATATAATTCCTTGTAGATCGGATTTTTGTAGTTTTTCAAGTTGATTGCTGTTATCTGACTCCGAACTCTTTTGGGACTAGGGCTTGGATGTTGTTTTCAAATTGGTTAGTCTTGGATGCA